CTAACTTAACTGGGATTGAAGTCACAGTAGATGATGAGCCCCTACTGATAAATAAATAGCGAAAAATTATAGATAACAATTATAGATGACATTTAAAATAAATACATTTGTTATTGTATTAAAGAGTACACATTTGTGAAGGCAGTCAACGAATCTCTTGATTTCTACCAAACGACTGGAAACACAAAAATGAAAAACAAAAGTTCGCAAAATAATGAGGAAAACGATGGCAGCGGTTGTCTTAAAGCGATTCCCATGCGATTTGTGTTCGTATTCATGGGATTCATTGGCTTTAACTTAGTTTACAGCTTCAAAGTAGTGCTGAGTGTAGCCATCGTAGCGATGGTGAGGGGCACCAACACCTCGTCCGATAAGAGCCATGAGTGTCGTGTATCTGAATTTAGCAACACAACGTCCACTACAGGAGAATTTGATTGGACTGACAGTCAAAAAGCATCTCTTTTGGGCGCATTCTTCTACGGCTATGTCTTAACACAACTACCGGGCGGACAGTTGGCCGAGAAGTTTGGGGCCAAATGGATATTTGGGTCGAGTGTACTCATAACAGCCATCCTATCGCTGATCAGTCCCGTGGCCGCCAAATGGAGTTATAGCGCATACTTTGCCGTCAGAGTGGGTCAGGGATTGGCCGAAGGGGTGGTGTTTCCCGTAATGAACGCATTGCTCGCCAAATGGTTGCCCAAAATGGAGCGAAGTCTGGGCTCAACCATTGTATTCACGGGCGCACAGATCGGAACCGTCATCACAATGCCTTTGGCGGGAGTCATGTGCGACGGAACCTTTCTGGGCGGCTGGCCCTCTATCTTCTACCTCTTAGGGGTTGTCGGTTGCGTTTGGTTTATATTTTGGGCTCTCATTGTCTATGAGAGTCCCGACAGACATCCCTATATATCTACCAAAGAGTTAAACTTCATTAGGAAGGGACAGGGAGCGGAAGTTGTCAAAGAGGTTGGTGAAGCCACTACTTTATAATACTTGATTGAAAACTAATCAAATAATTGAATTCAAACTGAATAGAGAGCGCCGACGCCGTGGAAGAAAATCTGGACATCAGTGCCGATGTGGGCGCTAATCATCACTCATTTCGGTCAGAACTGGGGGTTTCTCACAGTATTGACTCTATTGCCCACATATTTCGAGAAAATATTATTACTTGACATTCAAAAAGTATTGATTTCTGATTCATTAGAAAATGATATAAATATCTAAACATATATTTGTTTATAAAGAACGGCTTGTATTCGAGTCTTCCGTGGCTTTTATGTGCTCTCATGAGTTGGGTCGTCGGCACTATCAGTGATAAAGTGCGGGCAAAGGGACGCATACCTATCACAGTGATTAGGAAATTCTGTAATGGAGTGGGTCAGTTAGTTATTGTTACACACTTGGTTCATATTTTTAACACAAAATTCACATTTAAAATATAGGCTTTTTCGGTCCAACTATTTGTATAATTGCTGTAGTCTTTACCAAATGTAACGAGAATGCGAGTATCGGTTTGTTTATCTTAGCCATGGGTTTGAATGGATTTATATTTTCGGGATTCATGTGTACACACGTTGACATGGCACCCGATTACGCGGGCACTCTCATGGGCATAACTAATAGTCTGGGTAACATACCAGGGTTCCTCGCCCCGATCGTGGCCAACGCTTTTACTACAAATAATGTAATTGTTTACTACGGGCTAAATGACTAAAAACTGATTTATAATGATCTTAATTGCAATTGTATAGAATACACTGCAGGGCTGGTCGTATGTGTTTTACTTGACGGCTGCTATCTATGCATTCACTTCATTGGTGTACATAATCTTCGCGTCCGCACAGAACCAGAAGTGGACAGAAAGTCCTGATAATGACTACATCGGTGGTGATAATCTTAAGGAGCGTTCAAATGGTTTACATCATACCGGAGCCAAAGATAATAATTCGTTTGTTACGGATTAGCAAACCTTTTACTATGGTTTTCTTTAACTTATATTTTTGTATTAAATATTTTCAAATGTAACTTGTATGTAAAATAGTTAAAAGTATTATTTTTATTAATAGCAATTTATATGACGTGAACTGTTATTGAATTTAATTAAATGTCATTTGTTTATAATATTGAGTACATTTGCCACATGCATAATACTTTTCAAGAAGTGACAGTATCTTAAACATACATTAGTAGCCGTTTAATAAAAGTGGTAAAAGTGATGATAAGTCAACAAATATTATGATAAAAAGTTTAACACTTAAGTCTTAAAGTGTTCCAGTTTAGATTGGTTTAGCCTTGAATAGTGTCTTTCTAGTTTGATTTAGCGATAAATTTGCACTATTATTGAACATGTTTTGTCTTTAACCTATTAAATGGGATTTGATTACATTCTTTGGCATATATTCAGTCATTAACTCAATGATTACATTAATATCTAATTTTGCACTGATTTCTTCACCAATTATACAAATACTTTAAGAATTTAATCAAATATGGGATTAACTTGTTTATTATACATTTCAATTCAATTTATTAGTGTAATAATTTGTGTTATAATAATTAGTGTAATTAAAATTACAACACATATTATATAATTCATTTAAAGTGATAAAGTTATTTATTTATCATTTTGTAACAAAAAAGTCTAAATATTGCTTATAATATTTAGTAATGTTTAAAAATATTTAAATATAAAAGAATTTGATTTAACTATTATTAGCAATACTTTTTATTAATACATTATTAATAATAGTTTACTACAATAATAGATTAATGATTTAAAAGTTCAATTTGACCGGATATTGGCCGGTGAGGCAAGCCGTGCAGTGACCAATCCTTTCGGCCATAACGTCCTCCTCATAGTTTGGGTCCTCTTTCAGTAATTGCTCCTTAATTCCTGACTGAACCGACTTTTTCAGGCCATCGACCGACAGATACACGAGAGAAGCGGCCCCTAAATAATCAATTCAACAAAATTATATACAATCTAGGGTATTTGTTTTGCTACAGTAGTCAAATGATTTTCAAACCTAGTGTTTGCGCCAATTGTTCAGCTTTTAGGTGATTGGCCACCAATTCCTCTTTAGTTGGGATATTGATTCCCATATAACAAGGAAAATGGAGGGGCGGGGATGCGATTCTTAATATACAAAAAAATATTAATTAAACTCTGAAATTTGAAATCTTTTGAATTTATTACCTTATATGCACTTCTTTAGCACCTTTTGTACAAATGATCAAATGATATTAAAATTAAATATTCATTAATTAGTTAAATAATATACATTTTAAGTTAAAAATAAATACCTGCATCCTTTAGTAGCCTGATCAACTGTCCAATAGTTGTACCTATTATAAAAGAAAAATATATTAAATAATATAAATATCAATAAGTTATATACAGTAATACAGTACTACCGCGTAAGTAAATTTAATCCA